GTCTCGAGTCTCACGGAGGAGCTCCGGAAGGATACAAAGGAGGAGTGACGACAGGGAAAGACGAGAGAGGACCAGGCCTGGATTTTATTTTGTTTTGTTTTTTTGTTTGTGTTTTGAGTGTATTTTATTATTAAAGTTTCTTTTGAGTGTTCGCCGGTTCCCGCCTCCTTTCTACAAACTCTACGTACTTTGTTACACTGATCAAATGTTCAGCAACAAACATACTGAAGAATTGATTTTTCAGAATCTGGCAGTAAGTTTCAGGAGCTCATTTTTAGTCAATTCTGCAAGAGTCTTTTCAGGATAGGAGATGGAATAAAAATGAGCTCCTAAAACATACTGCCAGATTCTGGAAGATCAATTCTTCAGACAGTGGTACAAGAGGATCACAGTGGAGTCAGCTGTCTTAACCGTGGCTTGTGTACTGCAAACACATACCAGCTTCATCACTGTGTCTGTCACGTGACTCTGTTCCCCTTTCGGGCTCCGTCTTTACATTTATGTTGAAAGATGAAGCTGGTGATTATGGTAAGGGGCATTACATTTCCGACGAGTGCTTGCGGTGTTCGGCCAATCACAATGCACTGGGTCAGCTGGCCAATCAGAGCAGACTGCGCTTGTTGGAAGGAGGGGCTTTGTAGAAAACAAAGCGTTTGAGAGAGGCGGGGCATAGAGGACCTACAATAATATACAATATTTGAAAAATAATGTGTTTTTTGAACATTAAAGCATGTCAACATATTCTGTCACACCAAATACACAGAATAATGATCTTTAAAAAAGCATCGTATGACCCCTTTAATACTGCTTTTGTGCTGCAGGATCACATTTTATTAAAGGAGTACAGATTTGTATTTGTTCGGATATGTTCTCTTTTATCTAATATTAGATTTTGTCTGAAGAACTGAAAGCACTTGAAAGTGAAGTTGATACTTGCGTTTGAATTAGTGAAATGAGCTGAACTCGAGGTTTGGCCTTTGAATAGAGCCTTTGAAAACGGAAATGTTGTGTTTTTTTCATTCGATGTCTGCTCTGCGGCAGGATTTGGAGGGCTCGGGTCTGGATGGAAGCAGTGGTTTCAGACCTGTGCTGCCCAGAGGACCGCCAGTACGTACATCCACATTTACTGAGGCTTTCTGGCTCTCACAGCTGAACTGCAGCTCATTCTCATGTATTTTCTAATCCTCAGGGCCTTCCTGGGCTCCCAGGACCTCCAGGACCACAGGTACACACAGAGATCTGCACAAAAACACAAAGAAATCTGGCATGATCTATCAACACTGCAAAACCTATATATGGCATCTATCATGTGATTTTATATGTCATCAGCTGGAATCACCGTATAGAGAATGCAATCCTAGTGTTAAAGGTGCCTTAGTTTTTATTTAAATGAACCCAACTCTACACTTTCAGGGAAAAGAAGGAGCCGTCGGCCCTCCAGGTGTTTCAGTGAAGGTGTGTGCTCCTCACACACACACACACACAGACACACAGACACAGACACACACACACACACACACACACTCACACACAGACACACACACACACACACACACACAAATACACACACACACACACACTCACACACACACAAATTAAATAAAAATGACAAATGCATACAACATCTCAAAACAAAAACAAAGCTAAAAACATTTCAAAAATTTTAAAAGAACAAAAAGGTATGAGTATAATGACACACACACACACACACACACACACACAAATACACACACAAATGCACACACAAACACACACACACATACTCTCTCACTCTTCCACAACTGTTTCCATTCCAAGTGTGCCGTTTCCATCCACGTGTTTCCCATCAGCCCCAAATTTCCTATCTTTAGCACAACTGTAAGGGTCAGTGAATGCATCTCAGGCCTTGACCTCCTTCATAGTGCAATTCGAAGTAGAAACACATTATAATGGCTTTATATTACATAACACACTGTTACAGAAGTTGGATTCAGGAAGTTATCATCTAAATCAGATTCCAAAATAATTGCTCCCATGATCTGTGGCAAACAAACAATCTGTCATAAACACCATTAACATAGCTGTACATATTCATAGAAGTTCTGCAAACAACTATATTATATATTATTAATATGTCATATTGATATTATCAGACTTATGATAATCAGTTCTCCTCCACTCCACTAGGGGGAGCCGGGCGCTAAAGGAGACGATGGACAGGCTGGGGCTCCTGGTCTGCCTGGGCGACAAGTAAATACACAAAATCAAAATAGGCTCTAAAACTTGATCTTAATTAATGTAGTCAATCTATATTTCCATCAATTTATGGATACTTTTTTTTTTTACTTTTTTCATAGGGGGAAGGGGGAGAGAAAGGTGATATGGGTCAGAAGGTTTGTATTCTCATCATATTTGTGGCGTATCTCTCTCAGAGGCGTCAGCTTCGATGCTAATAATTGATGTGTTTTGTGTTTCAGGGAGAGAGAGGTATAGATGGAATCTGTTTACCTGGATCTCCGGGGCCTCCTGGACCTCCTGGACCAATCATTAATCTACATGAGGTGAGTCCATTAATGTCTCACATTTTTTAAGGATATGGATGCTAATTCCAATGCATTTGTTTTGAACTGTTTCTCCACCCTCAGTTGATGCTGAATGACACTGAAGGAATCTTTAACCTCTCAGGGATTTTTGAACCACAAGGACCATTGGTAAGAAGCCTTTCCTTGCCCTGCTTGTTATTTGTTCATGGCCTGATCAGTATGGCTTAAGTAAACTTCATCGACACCAAACCAAAAACATCTTCTTGTTTAATCATATTCACCTGCTAACCTTGAAGTGCAAATAAAATTCACAAACAAGAACACAAAACAGCGAATCAGAATTGAAAACAATTAATCTGAAAACAAAACAGATGAGACAAGACAACTGCAAATCAGAAAAGACATCAAAAAAGCACAACAGCCCCTGCTTGTTATTTGTTCATGGCCTGATCAGTATGGCTTAAGTAAACTTCATCGACACCAAACCAAAAACATCTTCTTGTTTAATCATATTCACCTGCTAACCTTGAAGTGCAAATAAAATTCACAAACAAGAACATAAAACAGCGAATCAGAATTGAAAACAATGAATCTGAAAACAAAACAGATGAGACAAGACAACTGCAAATCAGAAAAGACATCAAAAAAGCACAACAGTGAATCAGCAGACACGACAACGAATCAGAAAACACGACAACGAATCAGAAAGCACTACAACGAATCAGAAAACACTACAACGAATCAGAAAACATGACAGCGAATCAGAAAACACGACAGCAAATCAGAAAACACGACAACGAATCAGAAAGCACTACAGCGAATCAGAAAGCACTACAACGAATCAGAAAACACGACAACGAATCAGAAAACACGACAGCAAATCAGAAAACACAACAACGAATCAGAAAACACAGCAACGAATCAGAAAACACGACAGCTTATCAGAAAACACGACAGCTTATCAGAAAACATGACAGCGAATCAGAAAACACGACAACGAATCAGAAAACACGCCAGCGAATCAGAAAACACAACAACGAATCAGAAAACACGACAGCGAATCAGAAAACACGACAACGAATCAGAAAACACGACAACGAATCAGAAAACACGACAGCTTATCAGAAAACACGACAGCGAATCAGAAAACACGACAGTGAATCAGAAAACACGATAGCGAATCAGAAAACACGACAGCTTATCAGAAAACACGATAGCGAATCAGAAAACACGACAACGAATCAGAAAACATGACAGCGAATCAGAAAACACGACAGCTTATCAGAAAACACAACAGCGAATCAGAAAACACGACAACAAATCAGAAAACACGCCAGCGAATCAGAAAACACGACAACGAATCAGAAAACACGCCAGCAAATCAGAAAACACAACAACGAAAAACATAACAGCGAAACAGAAAAAACAGCTAATCAGAAAACACAACAATGAATCGGAAAACAGAACAATGAATGAAGAAACATTAATAGTGAATCAGAAAAAAAAACACAACTGTGAGAAATGTCAGAAATGTTGTCTGACATTCTTTAGCCATTCTGGATGTCCCCTTGCTTTAATATCAATACTATGAAGAAGTTATTATGAAGGTTCAATTTTAAACTCAATAAATGAACTCCAGATGGAAACGCATACAATTTAAAATTCACATTTAACAAAAGTATAGTCATTTGTATGGTTCAATATAAATTCAGTAGAAGCTTAACAAGCATGAAATATCATTTATCATTGTCTTGAAATATGGCTGTCATCCTGTACTCGTACTTTTGGCCATAGTATTCCAACTATTATTTTTCTTTATATTTCTCACTGTGTTTAATTCCAAAGCGACTCTCATTCTATTGCAAAAACACAAACAGAAATGCTGAAGAAAGATGAGCGTGGAGATTATGGTACAATAGCTGCTCAAAACCACACGGAACGCACAGGAATGGAAACACACTGCGGTTTAATTGCATTATTTACAATAAGTCACCAAGTTGCCTGTGGAATTGTGTTTTAAACAATTACAACACATTAGCTTTGCTTTATTGCGTAATATACGGGCACTGACGAGCAGAAGTGAAGCGAAATAAACAGAGATCTGCACAGCCGTTCTGAGACACGCGTTTAGGACTGATCTACTGACTGATCTAGCCTGATAATAAGCTTTTATTTTTAACACTATTAGAGCATAAGGAACAACATTTATGAGGCAGTTGTTGTCAAATATCATTGCATTGCATGCGTTTCAAATATGGCCGCAAATGACTTGTCTCAAAGGGACTTCGTTTAAACTTGATCTGCTGCATTACTCAAGACCAGTCAGTCCACTTTAACACCAAACCTTTCTGAGACGGACAGGATTTATTTGCATTAATTTGATTTCCTTGCTTTACTTTACTTCTCACAGGGAGACTGTGGCGTTCCTGGACCTCCTGGTCAAGCGGTGAGCAGAAGCTGCTGTGACTTTGACTCGTATTATTACTCATTATGATCATGTTTAATTAATCCCATCAATTATTATGATAAATATAATTGTTTACATTATTCTCCAACTATTTTTCTGACGTTCCTCCATCATCATCCATTTTTTTCTAGAATTAATTTTCTAAAACTTAAAGCTTTAGTTGAATATCTCAGTTTCCAGCATCGTTATTTTTTCATCACTACAAGAAATGACAAAAAAAGCCAATCAGAACATACTTGATATTTAATATACACCAATGTGAAAAGGACCAATGAGAGTTCACTGTGGGCGGAGCTACACAACTTACACTTACACAATGCTTTTCTGCAATTCTTGAAACAGATGTTTATCTTAAATCTATCTATCTATCGATATATACATATATAGAAAGAGTAGAGAGAGAGTGAGACAGATATAATGTCATGTTGTTTATTGTTATTATCTTATACACTCAACAAGCCAGACCTGTTCATTCGGTTTATTTGGTCTAAACACTTAATCTCAGGACTATTTTCCCGTTATTCTGGAAGCAGTCTAGCTTCCAGCTTCCCTTAATATTTTACAATTCATGTGTGTTTTTTCCTTTCCGGTGGCTTTGCTGTTTGCGTACAGCTGCTTGTGTTCACAATGTCTTTGTAAAGGTGTTGAGGCGAGAGCGGTGCATTGCTCTGATTTCTGTCTCGTCTCGTCTCGTCTCATCCAGGGCCCTGTCGGACCCGCTGGACCGAAGGGCGAGTTCGGATTTCCAGGACGACCGGTCAGTTACTTATTAAAAACATGAAACTGCACATGCACACTCAATATACAGTTTATAATAACTGTCTTTAACAGCATTAGTGGACATGACATTATAAAGCGGAGAGTTCCGGTGCTTGACTCTGATTGGCTGAGCCGCGGTCGAAGCTGTTATAAATGACGCTACAAAGTAACACACACCTTTGTTTACGTTTGTGTGTTGCTCGGCAACCACTTTGTAGCAACCACAACTGTTTCTGAGGAGCTACATTGTTTGGTGGAAGAATACTGTGTTTATTAATATCATTACTCTTTATTTGCTCTGTTTTATTTTGTGAAACCTTAAAATTGTTAATTATTATTAGAGTTGTGTGTGTGTGTGTGTGTGTGTGTGTGTGTGTGTGTGTGTGTGTGTGTGTGTGTGTGTGTGTGTTTGTGTGTGTGTGTGTGTGTGTGTGTGTGTGTGTGTGTGTTGTGTGTGATTCAAACAGCTGCAGAGGTTTGTGTGTGCATCATATTCTGATTTCACACATTATCATCAGAAGTTCTTGTTGTTGCTGAATGTGAATGCGAGTGTGTTTTTAATTCTGCTGTGTGTGTTTTGCATGAATTGTTGCTGTAGGGTCAGAAAGGAGAGCCGGGGATTGTGTCTGGAGTTCATGCGCCGCAGGGACCCAAAGGACTGAAGGTCACCCATGACTTCTTTAACCTAAAGACTATAGAATATCCAAGACGTGTCACTCGTATAGTTTTGAATGGGGAAAAATGCAACGCTCAATATGGCCGCTCTATTGAAGGAAGCCCCGCCTTCTGAGTAAAAGAGCCAATCAAAGTGCATCACTGCAGCTGCGGTTAGAAGTCCCGGTTGCTATAGAAACAGTCAGCGTTCTGAGACACGCGTTTAGGACTGATCTACTGACTGATCTAGCCTGATAATAAGCTTTTATTTTTAACACTATTAGAGCATAAGGAACAACATTTATGAGGCAGTTGTTGTCAAATATCATTGCATTGCATGCGTTTCAAATATGGCCGCAAATGACTTGTCTCAAAGGGACTTCGTTTAAACTTGATCTGCTGCATTACTCAAGACCAGTCAGTCCACTTTAACACCAAACCTTTCTGAGACGGACAGGATTTATTTGCATTAATTTGATTTCCTTGCTTTACTTTACTTCTCACAGGGAGACTGTGGCGTTCCTGGACCTCCTGGTCAAGCGGTGAGCAGAAGCTGCTGTGACTTTGACTCGTATTATTACTCATTATGATCATGTTTAATTAATCCCATCAATTATTATGATAAATATAATTGTTTACATTATTCTCCAACTATTTTTCTGACGTTCCTCCATCATCATCCATTTTTTTCTAGAATTAATTTTCTAAAACTTAAAGCTTTAGTTGAATATCTCAGTTTCCAGCATCGTTATTTTTTCATCACTACAAGAAATGACAAAAAAAGCCAATCAGAACATACTTGATATTTAATATACACCAATGTGAAAAGGACCAATGAGAGTTCACTGTGGGCGGAGCTACACAACTTACACTTACACAATGCTTTTCTGCAATTCTTGAAACAGATGTTTATCTTAAATCTATCTATCTATCTATGTATACATATATAGAAAGAGTAGAGAGAGAGTGAGAGAGATATAATGTCATGTTGTTTATTGTTATTATCTTATACACTCAACAAGCCAGACCTGTTCATTCAGTATATTTGGTCTAAACACTTAATCTCAGGACTATTTTCCCGTTATTCTGGAAGCAGTCTAGCTTCCAGCTTCCCTTAATATTTTACAATTCATGTGTGTTTTTTCCTTTCCGGTGGCTTTGCTGTTTGCGGCCGACACCTGTTTTCGTCTGCATTGCTCTGATTTCTGTCTCGTCTCGTCTCGTCTCATCCAGGGCCCTGTCGGACCCGCTGGACCGAAGGGCGAGTTCGGATTTCCAGGACGACCGGTCAGTTACTTATTAAAAACATGAAACTGCACATGCACACTCAATATACAGTTTATAATAACTGTCTTTAACAGCATTAGTGGACATGACATTATAAAGCGGAGAGTTCCGGTGCTTGACTCTGATTGGCTGAGCCGCGGTCGAAGCTGTTATAAATGACGCTACAAAGTAACACACACCTTTGTTTACGTTTGTGTGTTGCTCGGCAACCACTTTGTAGCAACCACAACTGTTTCTGAGGAGCTACATTGTTTGGTGGAAGAATACTGTGTTTATTAATATCACTACACTTTATTTGCTCTGTTTTATTTTGTGAAACCTTAAAATTGTTAATTATTATTAGAGTTTAAAATAACTGAAATCAGTCTAATATGCTGATCTGCTGCTCGAGAAACATTTCTGATTATTATCAATGTTGAACACAGTCGTGCTGCACAATATTTTTGTGGAAACTGTGATGCATTTTATTTTTCAGGATTCACAGATGAATAGAAAGTTCAGAAGAACAGCATTTATTTGAAATAGAAATCTTTATAGATTATAAATGTCTTCACTGGCACTTCTGATCAATTCAATAAATCCATGATGAATTAATTCATTTCTTTACTACTCCAAGCTTTCAAACACATGTATATGCACAGTATATTGTGTTGTGATTATGTATGTTTCCTCAGGGTCGTCCAGGAATTAACGGGCGTAAGGGTGAAAGAGGAGATTCTGTGGGTTTACCTGTGAGTTTGAGTCATGTGTCAACTATTATCAACTATTATTACTTTATCAGAAAGACGTGAGCGTTCTTACTTTTAGTGTTTGGTTCTGAAAGTATTTTTCAAATTCATCTCTCATATTTATCACAGTTTTAACTGCACATATTTTAAAATCAAATGTCACAGATTACTACAGTAGCATATGCCATCATTCAGCAGCCTTGAAGCCCATGCTTTGTCTGGCTTCAACGTTTTAATACATTATTGCTTAAATGTATATATGGATATTTTAAGTGGCACTTCAGTAAGTAACTAGAAAAAAGCTAGATTGTTGAGCTCTCTGTTTCTCACACCATTTCATGCCTTTTCCCAAAAAATGTATAGGAACTAAATTGCTGAACTTGATATTCTTTAAAGAATCAAAGAATATTTAAAGGAATAGCTCACAAAAAAATGAACATGAGCTGTAAATGTGCTCATCCTCAGGTCATCAGTTTGTTTCTTCATCAGGTTTGTAGAAATGTAGCACTGCATCAGTGTCTCAGCAATGGATGCTCTGCAGTGAATGGGTGCCGTCAGAATGAGAGTCCAAACAGCTGATAAAAACATCACAATAATCCACAGCACTCCAGTCCATCAGTTAACATCTGGAGAAGACACAAGCTGAAACTAATCCAGCAATAAATACAAATCCATAATCCATAATAAACATATGCATAAAAACATATTTTGCCCAGAAGCAGCAGTTGATGGACTGAAGTGGTGTGGCTGCATTTCTGCAAATCTGATGAAGAAACAAATTCATGGCCTGAGGATGAGTACATTTACAGAAAATGTTCTTTTTTTGTGAACTTTTCCTTCAAGGCAAAAAAGTTTGAGATTTTGGGCTTTTTAGTTTTTCATAAAGTGTTTTTTTCAGACTAGTGGAAAGAAAACATCTAAAAGGCACTGTTAAGTGTTTCTTTCATAGCACTTTATCTATTTGTGTCAATAGATTTCAAATACAATACATATTTTTAAAGGCCATTTTCTAAAAAT